GCTCTTAACCTCCTTACCCCCCTTCGGGTTATGAGGGATGGGCGAGGGAGAGAGAGAGAGAAAGGGAGGGGGAGGGAAGTAAAACAGGGGGGGAGGGAAAGAGGAAAGCCTTTCAAAGAGTAAAGGAGGGACTGGAACCATCAAGGGAAGGAGGGAAAGGAAATTTACATTCAATCGACGCAAAGCAAACCGAGAGGGAGGGAGGGAAGCCAAGAAACGAGGGAGGGAAAGAGGGAGGGAGGGAGGGAGGAAGGGAGGGAGGAAGAGGCAGACCGTGGCCTGAACTTTTTCTCCTCCGTCACACCGACCCCTCCCTCCTCTTTTTTCCCTCTCTTTCTCTGCCTGGCCCCCTTTCATCCTCCTCAGGCGGCGAAGCAAGCGATTTGTGAGCTCGTCTTGAAGGAGGTGGTGCCCGAGGCCTATGCCACCTACTTCCCCGCCTCCGTGGATGGGAAGGACGGTAGGGAGGGAGGGAGGGAGGGTGGAGAAGAGGGGAAGACGAGGACCAGGGCAGAAAGGAGGCGGGTGGAAAACGGGAGAGTGGATGAAAAGCAGGAGCTAGGACGCAGGGGAGGGGATGGACACGTAAAAAGCGATGGGTCCTGGCGGCCTCAGTACACTCCGGTTCCTTCTGAGCATGAGAATGCTGGTGGCAAGGGGAGGTGAAGAGGGGAAGAAGGTGGGTAAGAACACTCACATCCGGGTATCTTGTTGGAATTTTCCCTCCCTGGCAGGTTCCGTGGGCGAGGAGGAGGAGGAGGAAGAGGAGGAGGAGGAGGAGGAGGAGGAGGAAGGGCTCGAGGGCAGGACGGAGGGGGGGGAAGAGGAAGAGGTGGTGGACTGGCGCTATGAAGAGAAGCTCTTCGACGAGGAGCAGTACCTGCGGGGTCTGCTGTGGAACGTTCAAATGTATGTGGATGGATATTGTCCCGATTACCAATACGCATACCGGTACGTCCCTCTCCCTTCTCCTCGGCCTTTTCTCCTTTTTCCTCCCTCGGACTTTTTCCCCTTCCCTGGCCTTCGGACTTTTCTTCCCTCCTCGTTACCCTCCTTCTTCCTCCCTCTTTCCCCTTCCCCTCTTTTCCCTCCCTTTGGGTGCAGCCACCGCTTCGCGCCCTCGGCGCAATGCTTGGCCGACTTTATCCGGAATCAGACGAAGAACAACGCGTCCAGCTTTGCACTCTCGGTTCCGACCTCCCTCACGCCGCCACTCCACCCGGCCCTGGCCTGCTTGGCAGTTATGCCTC